CGATCGAGAAACGATTTACCTGGCGATGGCACCCGCTCTTTAAACCAACCGATTACGCTAATTCGACGTTTAAAGGTACCGAGCTAAACGGGAACGATTGGCCCCTCTTCCTCCACGTGAAAAGAAATGGCTGAAAGGAGACCCCGAGGGAACCCTGGCCCGGTCTGAAAGTCTTTCATCGCGACTCGTGCAGGGTGAATCACGAGGCCGGGATAAAAGGACCTAATTGCAAGAATGCACCGATTGTCCATGGGGCCATTCCAATTCGCTCGTCGTTCCGGCCGCAAACGGGCTGAATCACGACTCGAGTCTCGAGTGGCCTTTAAAGTCCTCGCCTCCGACTTGCACCATAAGAAGATCCAATTGATGGTTGCAGAAGTCAGCCGGGGGTAAAGGGGGACCGAGGCCCGTCGACGGCCTAAAGTCGCCGTCTTCGGGATTCCTATCTACGGACGGAACTCGAAGAAACTTGAAATTCCTCCCGTGGATACTTTGTATTTTTTCCCCGATCTCGAGTCGCAAGATGGAAAACAAAGAAATCCGAGAGAGCAGAATACGCGGCAAGGGATCGCCTGAGACCTTGGACTCGTGTTGACGTTCTTCCGACCTACCTCAATCCCGTCAAATAGCGACTCGGGATCCAGATCGATCGGCGAATAGACTCCACACCGATAAAAATACCTATGTACAATTTACGTACTCAATCGCTGATTATTTCAATGTCACAATAAATTGCAGGAAAATTACCCTCTCTTTGTAACATCGCATTCTGCCCTAAAGCTAAGTTTAAGAGAACTACAATGTAACGATACATCTAACTTGCGTAAAAATCCACTAATAGGGTAAATACACAATGTCGCGGATATTTACACATTTTCGCAAGAAGACGCGACGCTAATCTCGACGCCCTGGGAGTGGAATGCAAACCTCGGCCTCGTGACACGATGGTGGGCAAAAGGTCGCGAGATTATGTCGAGGCCAAGGCCCGCGCTTCCTCTCTTTCTCTTTGCTTTCTCCCCTAACGACTCGTCGAACGAAACGCTCGAATAAAGGCCCTCGACAGCCCTTGCGACCGTAATCGCCATTTTCGCGGTTTCGCCATTGTCGAGCGTCACCTCGCGAGTCGAGTTGCCCCTTGAAGGAGCGTTTCTATTCTTTTTCGACGCAAAGTCGGGGGAGAGGCCCTCGGTGGTCACCTCGCGTGCACGAGCACGGAAGTCGGGTCACGATGCGGCGATAATCTCGGCTGGGAATGGAATGCGAACCGCAGGCTCATGGCGGGTCGTTTAACAGGGTTTCGAGACTCTCGGGGTGTCGCGAAATGCGATGCCGGATATACGTATACAGGTATATATACGCGATTCGGCGGAATTCTATGCGGAATATACGTATATACACAATTCAGCAGAATTCGATGCCGGATATACGTATAGACGTATATATATGCGATTCGGCGGAATTCGATGCCCCCGAAAGAACTGGTCCCGCTATACCGTGAAACGTCCAGTGGCGTTAATTTAGATACGGAAAGATTTACATTAATTTCCCAGTGAATCTATTTCAGGAGTACTTTTCCCACCACTGGGTTGGAGTCATTCCGAGAACTCGGGCCCAATGAGAAAATAGTCATTCTAATCATAGGGTCAGGTCGGTCCGGCGTAAGAGCGGTTTACGCACCTAACGCCCCGGCGCGCGCTTCCGCGTGCTCGGCGCGACACCTCTCGCGAATTAAAATAGAAACGGCTCTATTTTCATTCGAAAAGTGAAAAGGCTAGTCATGGATTTTAATACCGTACGTTTAGCGTGATTCGAGGAGATCGAGCGTCTCGAAAACCCTGACCGAGAGCCGACCGCAAACCGATCCACAGGTGAGGCGGGTAATTTCGCATGGAAATCCACTCGAAGGACTCGCGTGCAGGGTTAATCTTGGGAACGCACGGCTTCCTTACCAACTGCGCCGCCAACTGTGCTGCCAACTGCACGGCGACGCCACCTGCGCCGGGCCGACACCGACGCCGCGGTCTCTGGGAAGGAGGACCACGAGGATCGTGAGAATCGCCCGAGCCCTGGGAACCGCGGAACCGTACGATCTAGAGAGGTTCCGGAAAGTGGAACCGAGATTACTTTCAATTTACATACAATCCAGGAAGGTGCGCCGCTGCCACGGATCACGCCTGGACCCCTCGTTCCTCGACACCTGCCGAATCCTTGATAAACGGGACCACGCGATCCGAAAATCCGAAGTACACTTCCAACCGCGGGACCGGACGCCAAGAACTCGCTCGCTCGAGATCCCAGCCGGTACTGAGGAAGCCAACAGGTGAGCCGCGCCAGCACCTCGACTTCAGGGCCGCGCCGCGAGGGGCGCTGTGGTGGGGGGCGCGATCACGTCGACCAATGAGAGGGTCTTCCGCATATCCGTTGACATCGAGCCCGAGGTTCGAGAATCGCCGAGATCCGCCGCATCGATGGAGAGCTCCGATAATAAAATATGTTTTTGTAGGAATATTTCTACGACACGTCGCGTAGAAAAATGCGAGGCAAGGGCGCAAAGTTCGACGAGCACTTTCCTGGTGTACCTGCCGCCGTCGCATTGGTTCCGGCGTCCAATGGACGCGCGCGAAAGTGCGCTCTTCACGCTCGCTTACTGTAGATCGATTTGTATCGACTCCCGAAATTCGGGGTGACCAATCGGACGTTTCTAATGATTCCTAACGATCTAGAGTTCGAGGGGGTCAGCTCGGGATAAAAAAATCGTTCGTTCGTCCCGAGTTGGCAGTTACGGACAATGGAGTGTAGCCGTATTAGTATGGACGGTAAACACCGAGAAACCGATAGGAAGCTATACTCCTCTTGCGATAGCGTCTCCTATGAATTGTAGGTATATTCTAAGTCGAGCTCCTCCTGACTCGTAAACTCCGTATACGCGGAGTTTCTCAGAAGTCTCATAAAGCCCGCCATGAACCGCTTTATTGGCATCAAGGGATCGGGCCTTCGAAAAGAAAGGCGCGCGAACTTGGGAAAGGTCGCTTCATCGATCGTCCTTGTTTGAGGCAGGTAATGGAATCCTTTGAAAGTCGAGAAGCCATTTAGAGCGAAGTCCTCGAAAGGGAAAGGACAAAAACCGAAATTTCGAGGCTTTGCCCAGGTGAGCCCAGGAGACTATCTCTCCCCTTTCGAAGGAAATTAATTCTGGAAAGCGAGCGAACTTCCAAGACCGGAAAATATTTTCACGCGTTTCGTCACTTTTCAGGGAATGACGTATCCTCGAGTTACGAGGTACCTGCAAATGTATGTCGCATGTGCGTACGTTTATCGCCTCCGGCAATGTCGTCGCACGGTATGTAGGTTACGATTCAATATCGGAGTTCCCCTTTCGCATGCGTTTAGCAAGCCGCTACTTTCTTTCACGGCTTCTTTTGCAATCGCTTTTGCATTTCGGCTGACACGCGCGGACGGGCACGCGTATAAATCTCCGTTCTGCACTTCCTCGGTCCTCCCCTCTAGAGCGGTCGCGAACATTCGAACGTATTATTCTTTTCTTTTAATTATGCCTCATGAAATTCTCATCTCTTGACCCGATTCTGCTTTTCGAGATTACGTTACGAGTTAATGAATTTATTACGCGTCGTCGATAACGTAGGTTCCCCAGCGTCCAGGGGTAACGCGGTCGAGATAGATCAAATGCCCCTCCACAGATGGCGCGGAGTGCATCGTCTTAGCAACCGCGGTTGCTAATGACAACTACATTTTTAGTAATTACCTTCGCAATCCTTCCAATCACCCTCGCTGACCGTTTCACTAAGGTACGATCTTCGAGAATCTCGTGAATTCCCATTTTAAATCATTCGCAACGTTGGCGACCGCTTGCGTAAACGCACTAGGTCCTGGCTTCGTTATTAACAATTTCGTTGAAAGTGATAAAAGTCATCGGATCATATATTATCAGAAATGACACTGACGAGGAGCGGAAATACTTTTGTACAGACCCGGAGAAACAGCAGCTGCGGTGTCCGAGTGGTTAAGGAGTTGGACTCGAAATCCAATGGGCTTTGCCCGCACAGGTTCGAATCCTGTCCGCAGCGTTTCTTTTTTTTTTCTCCTTTTTTTTTATCCTTCGCAAATCCAATTCTCCGAGTGTACCGGGCCTATCACAGGATTTTCGTTTCTTCCGAGTATAGAACGTGTAGTCGCCCGATTTCCAAAATGACCCCAGTCGAGATTCCACGTAAGAGTGAATCTCTCCAGGAAGGAAGAAGCCGAGAAAGCTGAGATTCTCGCTACGTGGCGAAAAATTTCATTCGTTAGTGGACGGTGTCGAGCACGTCGGCATTGTCTCTCCGTCCCATCCTCCTCGATCCACGAGGCAGTTCTCGACGTAGGTCGGGTCTTGGGAGAAGTTGACGAAGTGCTCGTTAGCTCGTACTTCCTGCTGCACTTCGGGTTCGGCCGTGCTGCTTCTGGGGCTTGGGAGCGAACTTTGCGTGCCGGTCGTATATCCACTCCTATTTCCTCGGATGTCGGACCGGCAATCGAAGCGAGAAGATTTATCGGAGAAACGACGAAGGACCTGCCGGTATTATATCCGAGAGGGAAGGGTAGGACCGCTGAGAACAATCCCGGATTAATCGAAGGTCTTCCGCGACTGGTTACCCTAGACCGTTCGACGTACCTTCGCCCAATTCTTTGCTCGCGAGCGACATAAAATAATCGAGGGATGAACTAGTCCTCCCTCGGTATATCGCCGCTCGACATCGTCCAATCTTCCTTGTGAATTGGCTCGCAGGGTCGTAGCCATAGTTTCCCTTACGGCGAGATGAGTAAACAGGGTTTACGAGCCAAGCTTCGAAGGTGGTGAACGCAAATAGAAATCGTAACGACACGGGGGACCCTTTAACGACCGGACACGGGGCATGGGGGGGAAATGCATCCCCCGTTTCCTCGCAGCCGATATAGACCCACCGACTGGGTTCGCTCTCTCTATAATAACAAATTCCGGGTTTCGGGGTTAAAGACTGTACTCGGTTTTCATTTTATTCCGTACAGTTTAATCGACTGGCTAGGCACATCTTAGGAGTCGCAGAGGAGAATCTTCACTTGGTCAGTTTTACCTGCACTATGAGACAGCACTCCTGCTCCTTGTCGTTCCACAGCTTCCACTTGACGTCGTAGGTTCTCTAAAAAAATCGTACCCGACGGGGAAATAAATTATTCGCGGTATAATCGCGGGGTATCATCAAACGGAAGTTATCACAGTATCGTCACTCACCACCGGCAACTTTTTTGCGAGGGGCAGACGGAACTCGTAGGTCTGCTTCTTCCCGGGGGTGGCGGGACAAGGGGTGGCCACGCAAGCGTCCGTTTCCATCCCCAGGAATGGCAGGTCTACCACCTGATTGGCCCAGTAGGCGCGACCCTCCAGCTTGTCACCCTCGAACTCTGGAGAATTAAATACCTCGTTACTCCCGGACCTTCGGTGCCAATTTCGAGGTTAACTCACCTGCGGTGTAGTCAAAACTGATGTTTGCGTCATGACCCCTCCTAATGCGGCACGGCTTTCCCTCGGGAGCCTCTTTGCAAGGGTCGACGCGCACCTCGTGAATCGTGCAGTTCAACGGGGTGTTGGCTGAAGCAAAGGAGAGGATTACGATGCAAAAGCTAACTCTCTCTCTCTCCCTCCTTATCGTGTGAAACCGATTATTCGTAGGGCAATAAACATTGGTACTTGGGTGGTCCGGTAGGAATCGACAAACATGAGTCACCTAGGCCGATAAACGGTGATAACGAGGGTTTCCGCGAAATCGCAAGATTGTTGGGAGGTCGCGGTCCGGGCGACAGAGGCTTCTCGATAAGCGGCGATAAGAACCGACGGTTGGCTCGTGGAAGCGATCCGGGGCGAGAGAAACCTTCTCTCTCGGCACGGATTAATCAGGGCCTCTTTCCCCTGGGGCGCATAATTTCATTGGTCCCCGTGGCCCTCCGATCAAAGTGGAATTTCCTTTGCGAATCGTGCTCGCGACGACGCTCCACGAGTGCCGTCCGACATAACGCCGAAATTCCCGTACAAAGTGCGCTTGGCCCGGATTTCCTGAATTAAAGTAATAAAAAAAAAATCACCAAGAGGCAGTACATTTCTTGGAGTGGCATTTACGTTTCTACGGCCAATCGAAATTTTTTAGCAGTCGCGGCGGACCACCGGTATTCATAAATGGTGACACGTGAACTCGCGGCAAGACACTTTATCGGTCCTATTTTTTTTTTTCCTACAGAGCGTCGTGGAAACTGCGATAAGACCGCAAGACTATTTTCTCCGAGCATAATAACGAGATAATAAACCTTGGAACAATTGATTCGGTCCCATCGTCGGGTTGTCCAGTAGTCCCGTTTACCCAGGGTACCAAATATCGGGATGATGGATGGGATCGATCCGTCGCCCCTTTCGGCGCAGGAGAAGTCCTTTCCGGGATCGAAGCAATCGGACCTCCCTTTTCCGAAGCAAAGATAATTTCGTTGGTGCCCGGCCATTTGATCAAAGGGGAGTTTCCGCGTTATGGGGCCATGGCGCTCTGCAGGCCTCGATGGTTTTTTTCACTGCCCTCCCAGTCGCCGGTCACGAATCACCGGTGGCTCATTGACCGTCCAATGGCCATTACCCTGGATTGCAACTCGGTTTGCAAAAAAAAAAAAAAAAAACATGGTCTCTCGCAATAATTGCCACGACGCGATGCAAAAAGGACCACTCGGCCACCCGTGCGTGCAGCCGTGCACGAATGATCGAATCGCAGCTTCATTTAACAAACCGTTGCCATGGTGATAAGAACCCGCGTCGGTGACGAGAGATACTTCCCTTATTTTTCCGAATTTCGGGGGAGAGTACTTCGGCGCCAACATTAACGGCTAATTACAACGGTCTGGAGTTAGTAAATCACTATCGGCATACCCCGGGGAACCATTGACAATTAGTAGAATAATGGAGCCCAGGTAACCCTCTTAGGTGTTCTCAAAGGAGCCTCGTCCTGGACCAGGGTAATCAGGGGCCCTTTCCCCGGAGTAGGTAATTCGAGCAGCAGGTCCCGATCAAAGGGGAGGTCCCGGTTGTTTCGCAGGGGTTCCTCGAAGGGCGATCCGTCTTCCGGAAGGGATGGCCCGAAATCGGTCCCTATCGGCGATCAGCGATCGACCCACACGTGGTTCCTCATAGATTCGACGGGCACCGTAGATCTTTCCCTCCATCGTTATCCAATAATCCTCGGCCGAGGACACCCCAACGAGGGAAACCATTTTTCACCGGGAAGCGGCGCTCTTAGAGCTCGACTCCCTCCACTCGGCGTATATCGGCGCTAACTCGATTCCCGACTTGTTTGATTTATTTAAGAGGGTGCCGAAAAATTCCCCGCCGCGAGGAGGGCGTAACGTAGAGAGGGAAATTCGATTAAACGGTCCGGCCCTCCTAGGACTCGATTCTCCAGGTCTTACGATCAACTTTCGGAGGCGAAATTGCCAGGTCTCGCACAAGACTTTCAAATCTTGTCCAATTACGCGACTCCGCAACAATGGGAAATTTTTTTTGGGGCGAAAATAATTTGCAAGTACTCGAGAATCGGGGTCCGGGCTAGGGAATAATCCAGTACTCACGGTCCGGGTAGGTGCAGGGTCTCCATTGCACCACTTCCGCGTGCAAGCAGGCCACCAGGAAGAGCGCCAGGAAGAGGAGAGAAGCCGACCCGGTGGACATTCTGGATCCGCGGTTCGATGCCAAGTGATGCGAGCCCGTCTCGACGGTCAAAGAAGAACGCAGATAAAGCCGGGGGTGGGGCATAGGTCAATTGAAATAGTACGTTATGTGCGGGTCTTGCACGGTCTTAGTCCGCGCTCTGAAAGGCCTCCCGAGAATAATGGCTCCGGGCACCTCGTTACGCCTCTTTCCGGTACTTCCTCGAAACTTCGCGGGAATCTCACGGAAATCGTCCAACCTCTTCGTTTCCTGCCATTTTCGGCTAATGTCGGCCCTTTCCGCAAAGGAATATGCCCATTAACCCCGGCATTTATTCCGAACGCCTCGTGAGGATGGCACTTGCAATTTTCGAATCCCACTCGGAATTCGGATGCCTTGCGACGGACCGATCTAATGACGATCTGATTGAACCGAATTAAAATAGAAAACTGCATCGGGGATCCCGAATCGCTTGTCAATGTCAAAGCGGTACCTTGAACCTTTGTATCTTCGTGAACTTTGGAAGTGCATCGTTATCTTTTGCTTTACTTTTCTCTCGCGTGCCTTTCCCGGCACGCAGAAATTTAGTTTACAAAAAGGTCAAGATTTTTTCGAGAGTGGTTCAATATCTGAAAGGGTTGAACGACCCAAATGGCATACTTAATGGACTCGCCCGAGCTGATAACGCGACAAATCGTATCCAAGAATAGATAAATGCGGGATGAAAAGAGAGCCGTCTCGAGCGAACATCGGCGACGTTCAATTAAAATGATAAATCTCTTTTAAATAATGATTGACATTAAAATTGCTAATAGAGAGTCTTGACGGTACTCGGAACGACTTCTGCCGAGAGCCCTAAAGAGCTTCGAAGCGATCGAGGAAAGGGCCAGGACATCCGACGAGCGTGATGAGCACATATTAACCGTGGGGCCCAACGTAGGAGATGACCAATCAAAGACGGGTCCGCTAGAAAAATAATTGGCCACAATTGTTCAATTGTGCATTTCCTGATAAAAGTGGACCAGTCTCTTCGGAAGCCATCGCGCCCGTTGCTCCGGTCGATCGCGTTTCCGCTAAACGGATCCTCGTTCGATATTCGCCATCTGCAAATGGGACGCTGCCTTCCTGATTAATCTAAAAAAAAAAGCGTACAAAGCGTACCGTAAAAAATTAGTTTCACGTTCGTCCAAGATTTGGGTCTCCGTACAGCTGCCGAGTTTTGGATCCGACAAAGAGGACTCTCTTCAAAGCGGTCTCCCTTATTCTAGTTGCAGCCCACGAATTGCAGGATGCCCGCGGATCTGCATACTCGACAATTAAACAATTACCGTCCTCAATTCCGTGGGCGGCTCGAGGTCAGGGGCCATAAAAACGAATCACTTGGTGCGCGTGCACTTCGGCAACGGTACCAGGAGCGATTATTCAATTGGAAACGATACGCTCTTCGAGAACCTACCGAGAAAACTAGATCCGGCGAATTTCTAGAGGAACCGAGAGGGTACGGTCGAAAAGTCCGCGCCGCCCGGTCGCCGGCTCGAACCTCCAAAGACGGGTCCAGCTTTCGATCGGGCGAGAATTCCTGTCTTCTGAAAACGTTTATTAAATACGTAACTCAACGGGCACAAAGGTAGGATAAAAAACAATAATTCGCCCTAGAAGGGAGGCTGTACAGGGACTTAAGGTCGACGACGAGGGCCATCGAGCCGCCGCGAGCGAACCGGACCGGTCCTTCGGGACCGGAGGCGAGTTCCTTGGATCGATCTCTTTGGTACTCGACGCCGAGGGTTCCCGGCCGTCGAAAGGTGAAGATCCCTGGGAGACCTAGCGAGGACGAGTTCCGCCGGAAATCGCGCGGCCACGTCGAATGGTACGGATCTTTGGCAAAGACACTTCGTCGCGCTCTCGGTGGAAGCGTTCTCTGGAATTCGGAAAACTCGTCGGCGCGGACTTCCATCCGGGGGCACTTTTACTCGCGTCGTCCACCAGCCGGCCACTTTTCAGTCGTTTAAGCGTCCGCGTTTGTCGCGAGCGAAACGCCCATTACACCACTTGCGCTCCCTCGGAGAAACGTCGTTTGCCGGGAGATGTGAGTCAGCCCACTTGGAAATTACCCGGACCAAATGTAATTACACGGCGTCACGCGTGTCCGAGAGTCGTGCATACGCGGAATGTCCTTTAATCGCGGTCACGAGGAAGATTGGCTTATTTCTGGGCCGGTCCGGCCTGTCTCTCTTCCGGTCGCTCCTTCGAGTTTAATGACTTCGAGTTCGCAGGGCGAGTCGATCGGCCCCTTGGAGTCTTCGATACGTATAGCGAAGTAATACTGTCGAGTCGTCGGAAGGAGTCGTCCTTCCCGGCGAGATCGTCCTCGTTCCTCGGGTACTGGTCCGTTCTGGAGCGGGCTTTTCGTTGCTCGCTTTCATCGATCGTAGATCGTCCTCGACCTCTTCGTTAGACCACGTAGACCGGGTCCTTGCAGACGGATATTCGTGCCTCCTGCAGGATCCTGAGTCGAGGACCCAGGGGCACTCCCATCTTCTGCAGCCTTTCCTCGCTCAGGTAGGGTAGCTCCACCATCCCGACCTTCTCCTTCTCAAACGCCGTCGCGTATTTCTGATAAAGAAAAGTGAAATCGCGTCGTTAAATGTGATACGTTTACTTTGAACGTATCGAAGCTCGTTGATTAAGGCGGTCGTACCGTGTGATAGGTCCAAAAAAATTGAAAAATATTTTACTTGATAAATTGCTTATGTGATATGTCTAGGATACGTAGAACAAAGGATTTCTCAATTTGAGTGACTGTATAAATGTTAATAAATACATTGTAAAATTTTCAAGATTTTAAAAGTCACAAAAAAAAAAGGAGAAATAGAACCATCACACGGTACGACTGCCTTAATGATCGAATTGCGGCCAAGTCGATGGGATCGCGCTTCCTCCACCCGTCCAAGGATCGATCTTCGCGAGGAAGGCGATTATACTCTCATACCTCATACCCAAGTTCCCTGAGGAAGAGCCTGATGAGCGGCGGCTCGGTGCCGAAGAACTTGGTCAACTTCTTCACCCTCGACGGATTCGACAAGGCCGGGAGCTCCGAGTCCTTGATTAAGGGCTGAGATTGCGACCTCACCATCGCCATACTCGTCTGCGTCCTCAGGGCCGCTATCTCGCCCCTGATGTTCTCCATTTCCTGAAGCCGTCGTCCGTTCCCAACAAGGAGAAATTAGTAACTCCTCGTATTGTTTTCCTATCATCGGTCGAGAGATTAATCTCGAATAGTCACCTGTATCATCAAGTGCTGGGTCCTCATCTCCGAGCTGAGGTGGGCCACGGACCTCGCGAGGGTGACCACGTGAGACTCGAGACGTTGAAACCGCTTGTTGATGCTCTTCGGGGACGTTAAAAATCGAGATTACTTCAAAAATCGGCGAAATTAATTTTCTTACAAAACTCCAGGGACTTACCTTGATGTCTTTGGCTTTCTTCATCCTGTCGTCGATTACGTGCGACCTCCTCTTATCGTGGTGTCTGACGATCGGCCTCGAAGATACGGACGACGTCGGCAGGGAAGAAACCGAGCCATAGCTGGCCATTCCTCTGGCCTTCCGTCTTTTCTTTACGCTTCCGCCGAGCAACTTCAGCACCTGGGAAAAATATTTGGAGAATTTATAGACGGTCCGAAATATATTTATCGATCTTCAAAATCACATGTTCTGGTATATTACCTCACTGTACATATTTTCAAGGCCCTCCAACTGTTTCCTGATAGTCCTCGCATCATTGGTGCTGATATCGGAGTCACTCCTATCCAACATGGAGTCCAGGTCCAAGCCGGTCGTGGTGGAGGTCAAATCCGCGGCTTCGACCCCGAACACTGTAATCGATTGCCACATTAATCTATGATAAAAAAAAATATTACAACCTCCAATGGAGTCAGACTTACGGTGGGAAAATTTCTTAGCGGACTCCTTCTTTGAGGTCGCCGCCCCGCGGTGCTTCGAGGTGATCGGAAAACTCCTTTTGTCCGTGCTCTTACCGTAATCGCCGTAACCTGGTTTCGAGCCGTACGGTAAGCTGAAATTATGTGAGAAATTAATCTTTACTACTTATGCTCGAATGATTCATGATTTTTCTACAGTTTGTCCGAATATACGATACCTTGCCGTGTAGCGATTTCTGGAAGTCCTGGGACTTCCTCTTGGGGACAAGGGCGGCAATGGTGGAGTTACCGAAGAAACGCTTTCGGACAAGGTCGAGTGCGCCATCGCGGGTACGTCCCTGGGCTCCAGGATGCTTCTCAGCTCCGACTCCACGATGTCGACCCACTCGGAATCCTGACCTGCCGGTAGAATTTAAAAACTGAGTATCGTACCTTCATCAGAAATTCCATTAAACGGCAAGAACGATGTACCGACCTTGCGCCATGCCTTGATCTTCCGGAGGTGGACGTCTCCCACTGGAATAAACGGCCGATCCTCTCCCAGAGTCCACATTAGAAGAGCTTTGCCCAGCCTTGTCGTAATCCGACCCGGAGCCTTGATTCTGAATTTTCAGCCTCACCATACCATGTTCCAGATCTTCCTTCCTCGTTTCAATTTTCGCGGAACCCTCTTTTCCGAGATGCTGAGCGATCTCCGTCCTCTTCGCGTTCTCCTCGAGTCTCTTGGAGGATTCCCCGGCAACGACGTGAGCCTTTGGAGCCAAAGCTCTGACCCCATCCTGCTCGACCGCTTCCCTAGGTTTCGAGGCATACGCGGCCTCGATGTCGGCGTTCCTCTTCTGGCCTCCATTGAGTTCCTGCGAGTCCTGGCCGTAGTCCTGTTGGTCCCTTTTGGACGCCCTGGTTTCGTCCCGGCGCGTCCCGAAACTCGTATCCGGCCTGTTGTCCTCTTTCCTCTGGGAGCCATTCCTCAGAAATTCGGCCTGGCGTTCGTCCACGGTAATCTCGTATTTTTCCCTATCAGCCCCATCGGGGGAGGTCTTGGGAGTCTCCGACGAGTTCCTTTGAGTCTCGCCAAGAATCCTCTCGTCCTCGTAACACAGCTGCGGCTGAGAGGCAGCCTTTTCCATCCTCCTGGCTGAGTTGCTCCTTTGGAACTCGTTTTCCTGGTTGGCTCCATCGGTCTTCATGTAGACCTGAGGAACGCCGTACCTCGGCCTCCCCTGGCCGTAGTGATAATAGACGTCCTGATTAGGGTTAGTCCTGGCATCCGCGGTCTGCCTGGACGTGCTGGGAAGATCGATCTGAGACCTGGAAATCGGCTGCTGTCTCGCTTGGTACTGTTGATACGCGCTGGAGAAATGCGCCTGCTGTCCGGTTCTCAAAGCTGACTGGGAGTTCTGCTGATTGGCCATCTGCTGCTGATGCAGTGTTTGGATCAGGTGACGCTGGTGCATGTTCTGTGCGTGTTGTTGGGCGAATCTGGGACTCTGCAACAGCTGGTTCTGATGCAGCAGCTGTTGGGGGCTCTGATAAGATTGATTTTGCTGTTGCATCCCGGTCTGCTGTTGCTGGAGCGGGATCCCGTGTTTGGCCAGGGGAGTGCCCTGTCCCTGAATATTGGACTGATGATGGGGTTGGTGCACGTTCTGGCCGGGCACTCCGGGGCCTGGAACTACGTACTCTCTGCCTGAATTCGGAGTCTGCTGGACTGTTGGGGCTGCCGCGAATCCTGATATCTGGGTTTGATGGACTGTTTGGACTCCTCCTGGTGGAGTGTGATGCGTCACGTGGAGCTGGGCACTCTGACCCGGTAAACTGGGCTGAATGGCTGGCGGGGGCGGAAGCTGACCCGGCAAAGGGACGTTCTGTTGGCCCGGCAGAGGGACGTTCTGCTGACCCCCCTGGTAGCCGTAAGTGTGACCGTACTGTCCTGAAAAATAAAATAAAAATAAAATAGTACGCATGTCGGGATGTCTGCCTGCAGAAAAAAAAATCCTCCATTACCGTAAGCATTTTTGGAGTATTGCTGCATGTTCCCGGGTGGCTCCTGAGCTCTCGGTTTCCCGTAAATGCCCTCCTTCTTCTTGGCCTCCTCGTCGTCGATACTTCGGCTCGACTTCCGCAACTCGTCGGTGACGTTATTCAAGCTGGCTTCCGGTTCCGGGTCGTCCTTCCGACTCGGCCCGAAGCGGCTCGAGATCATGTCCTTTATCGTGTGATACGTCCTGGACAAAGATTTGGTCCTCTCCTCCTCTATCTTCAGGGTCCTCGGTACGGCTCCCGTGGACGTAACTCTGGCGGGGGAAATTTAGGGCTCGCTTAAAAAATTTTTTTTTTTAATAAACCCTAGGTAATCCTCCTCGTGGAAATAGCGGAAGGAATATAATAAATCCCCGGGAGAGACTTACGAATAATTTTCTTGGATCTGGTAACTTCTCGTCTGGGTATCCTGCCTCAGTTCTTGCAGCTGAGCCCCCTAGAACGTACGGTATGACAAGTGGGAAGTGAAAGAAAAGAAATCTCGCAACGAGGAAAAGCGTTTAGAATCGAGAGAAGGAAAATGTCAACTCGTCGATACCATCGGTCGGAGTGTTTTTTTTTTTATCTCGAACTTTGTGAAAATCTCTACGAATGGTCTCGTCGCGGGGTGGTATAACTTCTCGAGGAACAGCGGACGCCACTCCGGGGGAATGTCAAAGCCGTCGAGTCTGAATCCTCGACTTCTTAGGAAAGGATGCGCCTCGAATAACAACGGCTCGGGGCTCGGCTAGGGGCCTACTCACGCATCTTGCATACGAAAGGGCTTTTCAGCCTCGTGGTCGGGTTCGTCGTCGAGGACGCCTGAAAAGGCCAATTTCAGCCCGACTTCCTCCGCGAGCGTTGCCATCGTCGTCGTCGGGATTTCCGCCCTACCGCCCAAGATCCCCTTGGAAATAGGAAGTGGAGATTGCCGACCATCGGCAGACGGGAAATTTGACCGCCGACCGGGAAAAGTAGGCCCCAGTAAATCGAAAGCCGACGAAAGGTGGCCAACGAGTGGACATCCCCGGGTTCACGCGACGTCCCACTCGACATAGAAAAACCGGGACCGACGCCAGTCATCCCCAAGATGAGACGCAACTTTCGAGGGTACTCGCAAGACGGAAACGCTCTTTGAACGAGGACCCGGTGAATCCTCTCGACCGAGTTTCACGCCAAGTCCACCTGTCGTCGCGCGACCGGGCGTCTTTACGCGGAGGAACGGTAACCTCCTCTCTAAGCGACGAATGTCTCGGAATGGCAAAGGGTTCGCCGAGAACGGAGTAGCCCAAAGAATAAAGGAAATAGACGGGACCGATCCGACATAACCCAGGGTCCGGCAATTATTTCCTCCCGGCAGGGCATTTACTGGAGCGAATCGAAGATAGGAGATGCGAGCGGAAAGCCGTAGAAAAGAGACACGCATCGTTGCGGACCCGGGCTCCGGAACATCTCCGTACTTTCGAACTACGATACCGTAAGTCGATGTACCGCCAAATTAGTGAGCATTAACTAACGAGCCCGGACAATACGGCGACGTCGCGGCGCGCACTCCGCGGCGAGTTAACGGCACCCGGATGGAATCTATCGCGCGGAAGGAGATGACGCGTTACAGTTATACGACGTTATAACAACAATGGGGTTAACACTTCTCCGCGATGGGTGCCCGTCGGATTATAACCGTTAATACATGGGTTAGTAGGTTCCCTCGTGACGAGGGTCGACCGAGACGGCTCCATCGGGCGAGAAGGGACGATCGCGCCCAAATCGAGTCTCCCCTGATCTATCCCATATTCGCGGCGCCGCGCGATCCCCGGAAGGGTTGCATCGTCGAACGATCCTCCATCGAGACGGTGCATAGTAATTCTTTCGAGCAACAACGAGGAATCGGGAATATTCTCCCGACCGGTTTACCATTGACGCGCGGAATGCCAAGCACATCGAAGAGACGGCAGTCACGAAGACACCTCGCATCGGAACGGATGGTTCGTCATTGACCCGTTCGGTCCCGAGAATCGGGGGCGGTATTGGAAACAAACAAATATGGCTTCGCCCGGTTTTTAAAGCAACTAGAAAAAAAAAAGAAAAAAAAATTCCTCGTCCGCGAAGCACCTCTGCTCACCTCCTGGACCCAAGCCTGCTGCTTGACGGGGGCATCCGGGGCAATGGCGACCCTTCCGGCGCTCCTCTGCTTGTACTCGTGAAGAATCGGGATCTTCGAGTTCTTGTCCGCCGAGGAGAGCACGACCTCGCGCTCGATCTGAAACGGGAGAGGAGACGGTCCTTAGGGGTCCTCTTCGATTTTCCCGGGATTTTCGACGTCCCGGTCGAGGAGCGATCGTCGTCGCCCGGCTTTTCTCGGGCCCGGGCAGAGACGTCGAATTCCCGGGGAAAAGCGATACGCATCTCGGAATTATCACCCCAGCCTCGACTTCCTGCAAACGGTACGCACGCCGTGATCTCGCCTTTGTCCCACCTCTGAGAAACTTCCCAAGAGGCGAGGAGGTGCGATTAACCGTTTGCGCCACCGCGAGCGGCTACGTAACTTCGGCATTTAATTTCAACCTCATTTTCCAGGGAAAAAGTCCCGACCAAGAGACTCGACGCCGAATTTTCGCCCTCGACGCTCGTCGAGGCTAAATGTCGTCGCCCGGAAGGAGGAGAAGGCGAGGATAAATTCTCCGGGTAGGACGAACCTCCCCGAGAAATATTCCTCCTCGTCGAGGGGCAGACGCCTCACCGGGAATTTGCTGCTGTGGGTCCGAAGAGTCGGCGGCTGCTGGGTCTGACTCGAGCTCTGCTCCTCGCCGTACAACGGCGGCATCCTGTACTCCGGAAGCACCGTCTGTCCGGAATCTCGAGAGGACTCTTCCGGCAGGTTCTTCGGGGTCCGATGGAACGTCCGGTTCACGGCAGCCTGGTCCTGATCCTGCCGAGGGGACTGCGAGTCCTGGTTTCTCTGGTTGTTCTGCACCGGCTTCGGGGGCGGCACGGGCTTGTAAAGCCCCTCCTCATCTGCAACCGAATCGACGTTCCTCCTCTGACTCGTCGTTCGCCCGTTTGCTCCAAGTTAAAAAAAAAAAGAAGAAAAATAATACGGAGAGGAAGAGAGGTTCCGGAGGAAAATCGACGGAAGCAAAGGGTGCTACCTTGGTTCTGTCCCTGTCGCCTGAGTCGATTTTCCTGCTTAACCTTCCGGACGGTCGTGGCCATCGCACTTTGGCTGACCATCTCTCGAGGCTCTTTTCATGGGGCCCGACCCGGCACGCTTTTCGCGCAAAAGGGGTCCGTCCTCTTTTATTTTCCTCCGGTTTAGTTCCCCGATCGCTTCTCACGAGCTCGTCCCGGGGGAGGGTCTCGCGTGGCCTCTCCTCCGGAGAAAATTGCCGTCCTGCGTGCAACGGAAGTGGCGAGATTTATCAAGGTAGGTAATCGCCCGATCTTTTGCACCTTTTTCGCCAACTTCCACCACCGATCGCACCCTTTTCCCCTGGAAACCCCCGAGAGACGCCTGGAATTCCCTCCGGGGACCCTCCGACTTCCAGGAGAAGACGTCGACGCGCTTCTAAAGTCGCTCGAGAATTTTCCCCACGATCCCGGGACGTCGCGGCGCGTGGAAACTTTTCCTAGTCGGATTTCCCCGAGCCGTGCTTTTCCGATTTCTCGAAATCGCGCGGAAACCGAGGCTGGCCCTCGGAAATTCGACTCTCGCGAGCGGCCAAGTTTTCCCGTCCGCCTCGCTCGCCTCTTGGCCGTAACTGAAGGACTTAAACTTTCCATTGAGTGAACGTCTGGTTCCGCCGTTCTGACTTCGCTTCCGGTATCATCCCCCCACGGGCCGAGGAATTATTATAGCCGGCAGAGACGCGAGCATAATTTATTCCGCGGGGCGAGGAAGACGCTCCGCATGCCACGCGAAACCCCGGCCATCGGTCACGTCTCCTCGGGATAAGAATCCTTTTCGGGAGGACGGAATTTCGGGACCCTAAATGGGATTCCCGAGGACCCCTCCTCTAAACGCGACCCGAGAAACAAATTCCGTCGGAATACGGAATCCTCTCCCGGATCCCTCCGACTTCTTTATCCGTTTTACTTACGCGTTCGTCGATTTCTTTCTCCGAGTGCCCGGAGAAAGGAACCGTCGAAGGAGGCCGCAGAGAGCCGTCCTTTCACCGGCCCTCGCCGAAAACGGGCCGGACCTTCGGGACTCGGGGAAGGGACGTCGTCTCTATCCTAGAGAGGAAAATATCTAAATCGCTTAACTTTCTCTCCGTCGTCGCTTTCCCGAGGATGGCCGCTAACTACCGGCTACGCGACAACCGGTCTTCCTCGCCGTAGGGATCGTTAGCCATCCAGGACTCGATCCCTGCCAGGGAATTCAATTTCCTTTTACCGCGCGTTCTCGCCTCGTCCTCCGCGATCGTTTCTCAGGATCTGGACGCGGCTCGGGATTTTCTGCGAGTTCGATACCGACAGCGTCTCGACGAGATTATCGAGGAAAATCGAGAGCTTGCCATTTTTCTCGCCGGACCGGCTCGAAAGTTCCTTCGGTCCTATCTTTCCTCGCCGCCGCTCCGTCGATCCGTCACTCCCCTTACCCGGCGGCGTTACTTCTCTCGAGGGCGGGGATCGACGACCGACTCCTAGGCATCCTCGTTACACGAGTCCAAAGTGATCAAAAGAGCGGGAGAAAAAGGAAGCAACCGAACGCGAAGCAACCGAGAGGGAAAATCGAGGACGGAGTCCGCGGGCAAACGTTCTTGGCGCGAAACTCAGGCAAGGCCTTTGCCTCCTTAATTCCCCCTTTTCTCACGTGGAAATAAATATATTATTCCGTGTAAAAACAATATATACCGAAATAGATAATTTCTCAACCGGCGTCAAACGATCTCGTTCGCCGAGGACGGCGGATACTTTTCTTGAATCTCTCTTTCGGTTCGTTCTTCCTCGTCCTTTTTGTCGACTGAAATTATCCGCGAGTCGTTTCGACGACGCGGTGCACCGTGCCTTGTACGGCGCGGCGTCGTCGAGCCTACTAAGCGCGTCGCGGCGTCCCACGTTTCTTTCCTTTCCTCGGTCCCGTCCTTTTTACCGAACTTGTCTCGGACTCGTTCCTTAAGTACGGTTCGCGTCGGTACGGGGAACCACGCATGGTTGAGCGGGCCGAGTGCTCGACTACTTTCGACCGTTCCGCGTGTCGCGAGTTTCTCGCGGCGGTTCCCGCCCTCGCACTCGACGAAACTATTATAAACCTTTTACTCGACATTTTACATTGCGCACAACCTCCGGGACGAAATTAAATATCCCGTCGACCCGCCGCTGATCCTGTGGGAATTTTTCCGTTCGTCGACGCGGCTCCAAAAAAGGAGCGAAATGGAGTAAGAGAAAAAATCGACCCCGTTTTCCCTTCAGCCGGGCAATTTGAGGAAGAGTTTCTGCTTTGAAAAATGGTCGCCCCTCGTCTCGAGATACGAGTCTCGGTCTCGATTCACCTGCGAGGCCTCGACTCGAGGAACCACGCACGGTTGAGCCTCCCGAGTGCGAGTCCTTTCCTCCTTTCTTTGCGTCGTCCGTTTTCCCACGGGCGTCTCGACCAGCCCCTAAATTTCTGCGACGCAGTTAAAAGCCCCACGTGCTTCCTGCCAACGGGACCCTAACTTGCGTAACAACCTGCTGCCGACATCGCCGCGATTCCCCTGGGACTCGTTTCGGACCGTTCGGACTCGTTTCCGCGACGACCGTCTTTTGCAGCGAAACCGGTGCGTCCGACACCGGGAGAAAAAAATCCGATTCGCCGGCGTTTTTCATCCCCCGCCAATTACCCGGCCGCTTCCCCCGGGAATTGAAGCGCAAACGAGCCCGGCCTGGTCTAATTATTTAGTTAGAAGAAACCCTCCGGATCCTATCCGGGAATCTTCCCGTCGCCCGGGAGGGTGGAAGCGCGAAGGAAAACGACCGAGCCCTGGAAATAATTTAAATTCCCCCGCAGATCTTCCACGACCCACCCGGACCTTCTAGGATCCTCCTTATCAAACATGTAAACGGGATAAAGAATCAGGACACGTTGCGTTATCAAAAAATTACCGGGCCACTTGAATTCCTCCCGCTCGACCTGGCCTTTGCTCCGATTTTCAGGGGTGGTTCCACGTGGACTTAAGAACGACGAGACTCCAAGACTCGGGATATCAAACGACCCCGAGTTCTCGGGACGATTTCCCGACCTATGGCCCCGAGCTGGGAGAAATTGAAATATTTCCCGTGAAATCGCTCCGACTTTGCCCCTCTTCCAGCTCGGCGGTCTTTATTTTCTTTGCCGCGAAGGAACGTCCGCGAGCCGCCTTTGAATAGCGTCTAGTTTTTGCCGACCGACTAGTTTCACCGAGGGTTTTCATTCCGCGTCCTCGTTCCGGAGCGTGCAGGAGGCGAGTCCGAGGATGCGTCGGTCCGGGGTGGACGTCGCCTCGGGCCGCGATCGCGGACCGGACCGTATCCACATCGCCGGGCTTCGACTGGTAAATCGAGGAGCAAAATCGAGTCCCCCAAAAGGAGGATAAATCCGCGATAATCTCCACGGTCATCCCTTCTCTACCTCGCGGGAGCAAGAGCCCTTCTATCCATTTGTTAACGCGAAATGCTCGCCGACTCGCTAATGATTTTTCAGTCCCCAACTTTCCGCGGCGTGGGGGACATAATGCATGCGTGATACGGCCGGCCTCTCGTTACCCTGCTTTAACGAACAACTCGATTAACGTCCCCAGGAAAATTTGTAGTTTCCGGGCCGCGCATTTAACACACTTTTCGCCGGGGAAAGCGTTCCCTGCGGTGCTCGGCCGAGTTTGTCGAGGCGACTGTTAACGAGGAGGGAAATGGCGGCGGAAAAGAGGTGCGCGTCCAGAAGCGGGAGTTGCCGAAAATTAAAAAGGAGAAACGGAAGACTCTCGCTTTCTCCGTTTCCCTTCCCTTAATCCGTTTTACGGGCGATCGAATAAATATCCGCAAGTACCGTCGACCCGGCGGGTGCGTTAAGGACCTTGGCCTCGGTGTGAGCGATTCGTCCGAGCGATGCACCCTGCACCCGCCACCTGTCGGGCATCCTTAAGCCTTAAGTCGCGGGCATAACCGTAAGGCAGTCCACCACCAGAGGCAACGGTCGTGGAAAGGAGGGAAGGGGAACACAGGAAAAAGGAGAGGAAGAACCCGATAAATGGGCGCCGAAGAAAGAAGGGAAGAACTCGGAACGCACCGGACCCCCGCGAGAGATTCTCAGGTGACGGGCCTCGCGGACTCCGACCGTAGATTCGCGAACTCGATCGACCCACCACTCCACTGGCACCGATTCCGCTTAGCCTATATTATTATTTCGCGTCTAACCGGCGATTCGCTCGACCGATTTCGCGTCAATCGCGATCGAGGATCGTCTTCCTCGATATCGGCCCCGAATGTTATCGCCACCCTCGGAACGGCGGATTCTACGGTCGGGAGCGTAGGACGGTAAATCGTTTTCGCGAGATAATCGCGAACGTTGGCTCTTTGTGCTCGTTCGAGACCCGGGTAGGTGCGATTCTTTTGCGTCTCGTCGATCCAAGTGGGACGCGTTTGCCTCACGCGCGGTGTTTCGAAAGTCCCTACACACGCGCGATCATCCCGTGATTTCTTCGCCGCGAAGCAATCGCGACTCTCCGCGAAGGAAAAAAAAAAAAATTAAAAAAAGTCGACGATGTCGTTACGATCCTCGTAAAGCCAGCGGGACGCCGTTTTATCGCCGCCCCGGCGAAAGGTAAAAAGGTAATTAGGCAATCCGGCCTCGATATCCGCGATACCGAGCCGCGTAATATGGGGACGCGCCAACGCCCGGACAGGTGTCGGATAAAAAGTTCGCGATAATTGGCGAGGCCGTATCGTTACGCGATAAATCGTTGAAATCCTCCTCGATACCGCCCACGTTCCGGGGCTACGCGATAACCTGCCCCCCGCTTCTGGGATCCGCCCCGAGGTCGGAAATGCGAAAATATCCCGAGACGTGAAAAGCGTCTCGGGCGGATTCCGGCAAACGGAGTGGATTTTTCCGGAGCTCCGCGGAGGCCATTCCCTACGATGAAGGGTCAATTGGCAGGCAATCGTCGCCTCCGAAGCTCTCCAGGTCCCTCTGGAAAAGGTTTCGGAAGCCGTTCACCTCCTTCCTCCGCATCTCCCCTTCCTCTCCGGCTCTCCGA